GTGTTCAGCCCAGGAAGGTTTATGTTTTTCTGGGGTTTTTTTTGACAGGAATGTGAAGAAGATAAATCTGCTCTTGTGGATGAATACTTTCAAGATCACGTGGATGAGTAAGAAACATGTTCAAACTGTGAGGAAAATACTTTGCTTTTGATAAAAAATAAAAATAAAATAAAACCCCCCAACCCCTACACGAACACGGCTGATGTTTTATCTGTAAAATAACTAATATTTATAATGGAGAGTGAGTTATATGACCTCGTAACTACTTTAATAAACAATTTTTTTTACTATGCTTGGGTGTGTTATAAAATACATAGGCCAGTGTTAGTACATATAAACAAGCAGAACGAGAAACAGGCAAGATGTTCAACAGACCAGCAAATCCTCAAAATATATAGAGGAAAAAGACTCAGAAAAATCTGTATGTGGCAGGTCTTGATCTGACTGAATTAAACCATTCAAAAGTTGGGGAAACCACCGTGGTTTAATTCACCTCCAAACTGCCATTGGGACGAGCCACGCTTAGGGCGTTTTGAAAGGATAAACCCCAGCCCTGCAGTTCAATTATTATGACTCACCTTCCAAACCTCCCCACTTTGTCTCCCTGACTCATGCCGGGAATCAGATACCAGGGAACAATTTCAGCAACGCTGGGTTTCAGGGAAGGTAATGGCTTGATAGCAATTTGAGTGTGCACCCTAAAATAGTGTATCCCTGTGAGCACAGCGCTTTGGACCCCTTTTTAGTCCTTCTGCACGAAGTGCCTGTGCTGGAAACGCACAGGAGAGAAAACCAGCGGCGAGCGAAGCATCGCGGAACCCCTTCCCGAGCGGGCGGTGTCCCACAAAAGCGCTGCCTCCCGGGATCCCTCCGGTACCGCAGTGCCCTGGGAGAGCAGTGCCTCTCCGTGGCCGTTCCCCGTACGGGCAGTGCCCCACAAAAGCGCTGCCTCCCGAGCGCCCTTCCCGGTGCGCTGCCTCCGGGGCGGTGCGCGGCTGCCGCTTCCCCTCCTCGCACCGCCTCTGCCGCTGCCTCATTTCCTGCAGCGTAGGCGGAGGAGGAAGCTCTGTGCCCGCTGTCCTGCCCGGTTCGCCCCGCTCCCCTCCCGCCCGGCCCCGCCGAGCCGCCTGCTGCCCTTGGAGATGCCGGTGAGCGGCTCCGCGCCCGGGGAGGCGGCGGCGGGGCCGGGCCGGGGGCGGCGGGGCCGGGCCGGGGGCGGCGGGGGCGATCCCGGGCCGGGGAAGGGGCTCTGCTCGCTGCGGGGTCCGGCCGGGGCACTGCGGGGGAACGAGGGGCTGCAGCTGCGGGGAGCGCTGCTGAGAGCGGGGAGGGCTCTTCCTGGGAGGCTGCTGCAAGGCAGCGCCTTCCTCTTCCTCCTCCTCCTCCTCCTCCTCCTCCTCCTCCTCCTCCTCCTCCTCTTCCTCCTCCTCCTCCTCCTCCTCCCCCTGTCAGGGATCCGGCAGCAGCGGGGGACAGGGCGGTCACAGCAGGGCTTTGCTCTGGCTTTGTTCACGCCACCTCTCAGTGGAATAAACTGCTTTTTATACATCCAGCCTCTCCCAGTCACATCCTCCTCTGCCCCCCACAGGATGGGTTGTGAGATGAGGGATTCCCAGTGGCCTGCACAGCACCTTGGAAAGTGCCTACAACTAAACTAAACTCATTAGTTGTTTAAAATCGGTTTTTCTGGGAGAATTTGTTGCATGCAGAAAGCTGGTTTGTCACTTAAATTACTTTTGTTGATTTTTTTTTTTTTTTTACTTCACTAAGCCTGCCTTTATTTATAATTATCTACTATTAATAGCCAGACATGGAAATAAATTACCTATTTTTTAATGACCAACTAACTTCCAGTGCAATGCCCCGAAACTCGGGCAGGTGAGCAGGGCTGTTACCCCTTGGTGCTGCCAGGATGGGGTAACAGGATGAGGCAGCCTGGGGATGACCTGTGCCTGCAGACCAACAACACAGATTTTATCCCATCTCCTGGTGCTTTCCTGGTCTTCACCAGAATGGCACTAAGATCTGGACCCAAATAGAAAATAGCAATTGTTTGTGCAAGGAAAAAATGCTGGAAGCATCATAATGAAGTAGGCTGTGACACTCCTGTTTGATGAAGACACGTGATTGGATATGGAAATGTCCATTTTCAGTAGGATCAATAACCAGCTCTTCCTGTCTCTAGGCTTACCACTCCACTTTAATGGACTCAGACACCAAGCTGATTGGGAACATGGCACTGTTACCCATCAGAAGCCAGTTCAAGGGCCCAGCACCTCGAGAAAGTAAGATTATAATAATCTCTGAATTACTGGATGTAGCTCATCACCTCAGGGGTTGCTCTAAGCCAACCCCAGCAAGAGTGATGAGAAGAGTCACTGGTGGGAAATAAAGTTTTGCAGTTTAGAGAGGAGGAAAGTTTTCAACTACTTCAATTGTGCAAATCGTAGAAAATAATTATGCACAGATAATTGTGCTGTGTGTTGTGCTGAGTTAGTGGTTTCAGTAATCCAAGCCTCTGGCTGCTGTTCTGGTGCTTCCCCCTGTGCTCCTGAGCAGGGTTTTGAGGAGGCTGTGGTGGAGTGAAGCCTCTGTGTCAGAGGAAGTGGGGTTCAGCTGCAGAGAACTCGTACTCTGGGCTGCTCTGAGCGACAGCAGCACTTTGGGTGTGGGGCTGGAAAAGCTGCAGTGAAGTTCCAGGCACCCCGAGAGGGCCCACAGGCACACGTTCCCCTTCAACACCTGAACTTCCCAGGTGTGGTATTCCCCAGAAATGTGGGATTCAGTTTGAAAAGGGAAATGGATAGGAAATGTTTCTGGATTTAAGCAATCTTGGATGGTAACAAAGGTCAGATTGTCACTGTGTTCTGCTCCCCTCCTTTATTTGAAAAGGATAATGGAATCTGAGTGATTGTGCTTTCTCCAAAACCTTTTTTTCTATCCTTTTATGATGTTAAAACTCTGATGTGTTACTCAAAAGTGGTAGAAAAGTGAGGAACTGCTGAATTGCTGCTATTTGTGAAGTGACATATCAGAGGGGAAGGAGAAAGGAGTAGGAAGCTTAAATATTACAGTCTGAACTCAGGGTGTTTCAGAAGTTTTCTGTTACGTGGTGCTGACTTCTGCTTTTTGTAAATACCATGGTTTTGCTCTTGCAGTAATCCTTATTTATGTATTTCAATGAGTAAAAGTTATGACAAATGTAGTGTAACAGAGCACTGCTTAACTATATCTCTTCTTTATAGCTAAGGACACAGATATTATAGATGAAGCCATCTACTACTTCAAAGCTAATGTTTTCTTCAAAAATTATGAAATTAAGGTAATTTTTTTGAGATACTGAGCATATTCTAGTTCTTTGGAGGGTTGGTTCTGTGAATATAAATTTATTTTCAAGGAAGTAATTTTAAGATCACAAAAACTCCCCTTCCACTTAATCTTTAAAGTTGGGTAAATGTCATGAATTGCAAATCTCTCTCTCATGGGGAAACTATAGCCCAAAATGGCTTGAATTAATTCCTGTTTCAAACTTTATCAGTTCCACAAAGTCCTGTCATCTAAGAGTTCCTGCTCTTGTTTTGCAGAATGAAGCTGACAGAACACTGATCTATGTGACCCTCTACATTTCTGAGTGCCTGAAAAAGCTGCAAAAGGTAAGAAAACGGAATTCCTGTGCAGGTGGGAGACAGTCTGTTCTGAGGATTGTTCTAAGGAAAGGATTTCCTGATATTCTCCTTCCAGGGGAACAGATAATCTTGTTCACCCCAGTTCCAGTTGTCAGAGCCTCCAATACCTCAAGGCTGTGGATGTGCTGTGTTGTTCTTGATGAGTTTTCATATTCCAGATTTGTAAAATATTTGGGTCTAATGCTGTGTCAGTTTTTGTTCATAACTGCTAACCCATTGTTTGCCTGGTTCTTCCAGTGCAACTCCAAAGGCCAGGGAGAGAAGGAAATGTACACACTAGGAATCACTAACTTCCCAATCCCAGGGGAGCCTGGCTTTCCACTGAACGCCATTTATGCCAAACCTGCCAACAAGCAGGAGGAAGGTAAGGCTGACCCAGGGCCTCTGAGGGTCACACTTTATTAACTTCCCTTTTGTGACTGCAGTTAGAAAAATTACTGTAAACCTAAATCTTCTAAATCTGCAGTCTGTCTTCTGAAGGCAGCACAAGCTGGATTTTCTGAGCTTGAGGATTCCCCTGGTTCTATAGATAAATCGAGCTAATCAACTCAGCCAGCTGGGAGTGCCTGCAGATGTGAAACTTCCTGTCTGCTTTAAGCAGTGATGTCTGATGTGTCCGTGTTAAATCCAGTTTGGGTTGGTGCTGCCCAGTTTAGCTTGGTTTTGCTGTGCTGCTTTCAGAGGTGATGAGGGCCTACCTGCAGCAGCTGAGGCAAGAAACCGGCCTTCGCCTTTGTGACAAAGTGTTTGATCCTCAGAGCGACAAGCCAAGCAAGGTGAGACTTTGGTGGCATCAGCACAGAGTTAGCGAGAGGTTGGGGGAGTTTGTTCAGCCACGTGAGAAGTGACATGAGGGGGTGAGAAACTTCAGCCAAGCCTGTTTGATTCTGCAGTGAAATGGCAGCTGCAAGTTATCAATAAATTTAATCTAATGCGATATGACAGTGAATGCCACTTTGGGTTGCTTTCAAAAGCAGGGCAGTAATAAGAGGTGTCTGGTTCAGCTCTTCAAAGCACTGCACACCTGCTCGTGGCTGGGGTTGCAAATGGAGTTCACAAGCAGGAGAGGTGCTGTTTCTCTTCCCCAGCAGCTCTGATGTGAGAGCTGCTTTGAAGTCGGTTGTTTTGCCCCATGTCCAGATTGAAAAAATCGCTAATCAATGAATGAGTCACCTCCTGAGTGTTCACGTTTCATGTGCAAATGTGACTGCATTTCATGTCAAAACCACTTAGGCTAATTTACTTTCAAAGGCATAGCTTCCTGATGCATCCCTCATTTATGATAAAATACAATAAAAGTAAAATAAGACAAAGTAGAATTTCCCATTTTAATTCAGAGTCCTGTCATATGAACTCATTGTGTCCATTCCTGTTGTCTTGTTCACCTCAATTCAAGTAGAAACCAGTATGTAAAACTATGTGTAAAATATTTGTGGTGTGTCAGAGATTGAATACTTTAAAGTCAGTGGAAACCACTTCTGATTTCTGACTCTGTACTTTCTTCTGCAGTGGTGGATCTGCTTTGTGAAGAGGCAGTTCATGAACAAGAGTCTCTCAGGCCCTGGGCAGTGAAGCAAAGTGGCAACAACTTTAAGCATTTCCACAGCAAGATGTTTGAGTCTTTTGCCTTTGTTTTGGATACATTTTGTACCAAGAAAGAATTAAGTGCTTATGAAGTTAAAAAAAAAAAAAGAAAAAAAAAAAAAAAAGAAAAAACCAAACCTGTCAATGAGTGATAGAGGGAGAACTAAAAGATAAGTTGTGTAAGCAAATATTATTAAGCTGGTGCTTAATAAGTGATTTCTAACGTGCTGTTTCAGATGCAAGGTGCTTTGTAGTGGTGGCTACAGCATTTAAAACAGGGCTTGTATTTAAGAGAAGAAGTGGGCTTGGCTGTGGGGCAGGGGAGCTGTGTCATTGCTCTGCTGGCTGGAGTCTGGGTGTCGTGTGTCCAGGGAAACAGACCTCTCACGCTGTGTTGTCCAGTGCAGTGATTTTTACCTTGTTTTCAATAAAATTTGCTTGTAATGAACGTGGTAACTACTGTGTGTCTTATGGACAGCCTTCAAAGAAATCAAAGAGGTTTTTTCTTCTTGGTGAAAGGCTTTGGGGTGCCCTAATTGTGGCCTTCCAGGACGTGAAGGGAGCCAACAAGAGCCTAGAGTGCCAGGACAAGGGGGAGTGGCTTTGAACTGGCAGAGAGCAGGATTAGATTGGATTCTGGAAAAAAATCTTCCCTGTGAGGGTGGGGAGGCCCTGGCACAGGGTGCCCAGAGAAGCTGCAGCTGTCCCATCCCTGGAAGTGTTTAAGGACAGGTTGGATGGGAGTTGGGAGCAACCTGGCATAGTGGAAGGTGTCCCTGCCCATGGGTGGAATGAGATTATTTTTAAGGTCTCTTCTAAACCAAAACATTCTGTGATTCCATGACTACTGTGTAACATTAATCAGTAGGAAGTGAATCATTCTCACTGGTTTTGTCTCAGTGGCAGGACTCGTGTCACAGTCACCACACAGCACTAACACACTTTTAGTGTTACCTGAAGCCCAGTGCTGATGTTTTGCTGCCTGCTGGATTTGTCTGCTGAGAGCTGCGTTCCTTTCCCAACAGCAGTGATGGCATGTCCAAACTGAAAGTTCTCACTTATTCCATTTTTAGGAATAGCGTAGCCCATGTTTTAAAATATTTCTGTAACAAAGGTGGGAAAATAAAGTTTATTATTCATCTCTCAGTCTATCCTTGTAGTTAACGGAAGGCCTAGTGAGGCATTTCCCAGAAGAAATACAGGTTTTGAAAGGTTTTTCTCCAACCATCAGCATATTGGCAGAAGGACAAGGGGTGGACTCGGGAGCTATGGAGGCACAGTGTGTGTCTGGTGAAATGAACAGGGCTTATGCCTTTATTAATGTCCAGCTCTTTATTAAAAAGATTAGCTGGGCAGAGGGCTTTTTCCAGGTGGCCGAAGGGGGAGAAGGCGTGCAGAGTCTGCCCCTGAAGTCTTCATGGCACACTGGCAGCTGAAGGGTGAAGAAGTGTCCAGTCTGTATCTGAAGTCCTCATCAGCAGACTGTCCTTTCCTCCTGGTAACAGCAGGAAAATCTTGCCTCTTTATTGCTGCTTCCCACAGCCCAGCCCAGTCCAGTCTTCTGTAGGTGATGGTGACAGGTCAAACGTCGATCAAGGATGTGGTTCCCTCTTCCTCAGCCAGCGAACCGTACCTGTCCAGCCCCCTCTAGTGTATTTAGTTTTCCATTCAGGGGTGTCCTTATCCCCGAAAACACGCTCCCATGGTTCCCAGGGTTTCCGTCTTAGAATGGCAGCGTGGGGGGGAGGGGGGCGCAGTTTAGAGAAAACAAACAGAGCAATTAGCTAACTTACATTTCCATATCAGTACCTAGCTAGTGCCCCAGTATTGCCCTGGGAAGCAGGAAGGCTCTTTTGCTCCTTACACCCGGCGGCACAGCGGGTCCCCTCACGGCCCCTCACGGCCCCGCTCTCCGTTCCCGCCGCCGCCAGGACCCCTCGGCGCGGGCTGCCCCACGCGCGCCTGCCGGGCCGCGCAGGCAGCGCCTCGGCCGCCTGCGGGCGGCGGCGCGCGAGGACCCCAGCGAGGCGCCATTTTGGAGCGGCGGCGGCTCCGGGTCCGGTTCTTCTCTCGGGGTCTCTCCCGGTTCTTCCCTCGCCCCGTCCCGTCCCCTCCGCCCCGCCGGCGGCAGCATGAGTGTGGTGGAGCACGTGCGCGAGATGGCGGCCGCCGGGCTGCACTCCAACGTGCGGCTGCTCAGCGGGCTGCTCCTCACCATGAGCGGCAACAACCCGTGAGTGCCCCGCCGGCAGCGGGCGTGAGGGGCGTGAGGGCGTGAGGGAGCGGGGCCGCTCCTGGGCTGGCCCTGTCCTGTCCCTGTCCCTCCTCTGTCCCTGTCCCTGCCGGGGATGGAGCCCGCCTCTGTCCGGGTATCAGCATCACCGTCCCTTTGGGGTGCACCACACAGCGTGGGTGTCCTGGCAGAGAATCACAGAATCAGCAAGGAAGGAACCTTGAAGATTGTTTTGTTTCACCCCTCCTGCCTTAGGCAGGGACATCTTCCACTATCCCAGGTTGCTCCAAGCCCTGTCCAACCTGGCCTTGGACACTTCCAAGGTGTGCCACAGCTTCTCTGGGCGACTTTTGCCAGGGCCTTCCCACTCTCACAAGGAAGAATTTTTACTAATACCCAATCCAGAGCTGCCCTCTGTCAGTGTGAAGCCATTCCCCCTTGTCCTGGCACTCCAGGCCCTTGTAAATTGTCTCTCTCCATGCTTTTTGTTGGCTCCCTTCAGGTCCTGGAAGGCCACAGTTGGGTCATTTGTTCTGCACACAGAATAATATTATATTAGGGGTTTTTATAATGTAGGAACAGGGATTAGGACCAGAACAGCTGTACAGGCTGGGTTGCCTTCTAAACCTGAGTCCAAACAAAACACTGTTCTTTTAAACTTGAGTTCAAACCAAACTCTGTTCTGAAATCTGAACGGGCAAAATGCTGGATTCTTACCTAATAAAAGGTGAATGAATCCTGGGAGAAAGTTGGTGCAGGGTAATGGATGTTTACAGCCCGTGGCTTGTTAGAGAAAGGATGAGGGCAGTGGCCAAGCAGCCAAACATTGAGCTGCTGTTGCTGATGAGGTGTCAGGAGTGGCTGTTGGGTTTGTTTGTTTACAGATAAAAGAAATTGGTGAGATAAGCCCTGTGTGAGGAGTCAGTGCTGTTACTCAGTGGTCCTTCAGTGCAGTGAAGGAGCTGCAGCAGTTTCAAGTGAAGCCAGACAAACCAAAGCTACAAATACTTTGGATCTGTAAGGTCTGGATTCCTTTGCAGCCATCTGATCTCAGCCTCTCTGTCTGTATTTCTTGCAGGGAGCTGTTCTCTCCCTCTCAGAAGTACCAGCTCCTTGTCTATCATGCAGATTCCCTCTTCCATGACAAGGAGTACAGGAATGCTGTCAGCAAGTACACCATGGCCTTACAGCAGAAAAAAGCCTTAAGTAAAACCTCCAAAGTCAGGCCTTCTACTGGGAATGCTGCATCCACACCCCAAAGCCAGGTATTTAAGAATTGATAATAATTATTAATTGATAATTAATAATTGATAACGTGCTGCATCAAGTGATCACGTTCTCCCTTCCATTTCATGTTGCTTACTCAATTTTCACTGGAAAAGATCCTTGAGGCTGAATCCCTGCCAAGTGCATCACTAACCACATCCCTGAGCATCACCTTTACATGTCTTTTAACCACCTTAGATTGTTCATTTATCAAATAAACCTGACATTTAAGGCTAATTAGTGTGATAATATCTGTGGTGCTTTCTAATGCAAAACTTAAAATGATCTCCAGCATGAAATTTTTCTGTATGTGTACTTCATAGTTTTAATTTGAATACAGGAATAATATGAACTAGCTGTGAGTTGCAGTGTTAACTTACATGCACCAGATATTTTTCAGCACAGTATAAATATTTATGAGGAAACCTTATGAAAATTTTCATACCTGATTGAACCAACATCATATTTAAATATTTTATTTTTTGTTTCAGTGTTTACCATCAGAAATTGAAGTGAAATACAAAATGGCTGAATGTTACACAATGCTGAAGCAAGATAAAGATGCCATTGCTATTCTTGATGGGATTCCTTCCAGGCAGAGAACTCCAAAGGTGAATTCTGGCAGGTTTTTGTCACAGCCTCGTGGTCACTGTATATAGGGCAGAACATATTATGTAGGTTTAATGGCATTATGTCTTTTTCATTAGTTAAATATTGTTTGGTAGCATTTCCTAATCTTAAATTAGCTGATTTGGACCCTTTTCTTTAAAATAATGCCAATTTTGTATTTTCTCTGCTAGAAAGAATTTAAAGAAAAAAAAAAAAAAGAAGGAATTAAATGTTTTGTGCATCTTTATTAACTTCTTGTATATTTGGAGCAATGCCAAATCCTTGAAAGGCTGGAGATTTGGCAAGTAGAAGGTTTGCTAGTGCTCCATCTTTAAAAATCTTTTAATCCTTTTCAACAACAGTTTAGATAATGTTAAATATTTAGATCCCTTTGTGGTCTGCAGTGCCAAATCTGTGGAGTCTTTGCTCACTGGCTCTGTTACTCAGAAGAGCTTAAAAGATTAACACATCAGATCAGTCGACTGTGTTTAATGTTAAATTGTCCTAAAAGTGTACATGGCTTAAACTCCAGTTAATGTCTGAGTGTTCTGACCAACCTGCAGAACAGAAAAAGAAGAAGATTGAGAAAAGCAAACTTTTTGCCTGTATAGACCAGCAAATGAAAATGCTGCAGCAGAAACCAGCTCAGATAATTTCTGTTCTTTGGTCAATCATGGCTCCATTTGGAAGCTGAATGGAAACTTTCTCTGACTTGCTAAGCTAATTCAAACACTTGCATGGACACAGAGGGATTCCTGGAAGGGACTGATTAATGGATGTACAGATCCTTCTTGGAATCATGTACTTGCCCATCTTTTGACTTCTTTGATGCAAAACACACATTTCAAGGTGCACAGTGCACATACAAAAGATGTAGATTTTATTTCTGTACTCAGAAAGAAGCCACAGTTTCCATTTTGTACTATATGGTACCTTGGAGTGTTCTCAGAAACGCAGGTTATTTTGTCTTCTGCCCAGAACAGAGGCAGGCAGGCTTGAAGACAGAGTTGTGACCTTTCTTAGTGATTCATTGTCCTTCCTCACACTCGACTGTCCCCACATTTCTGTTGTCTGCAGATCAATATGATGCTGGCAAATCTCTACAAGAAGGCAGGCCAGGAGCGCTCCTCGGTGACGAGCTACAAAGAGGTGCTGAGGCAGTGTCCCTTGGCCCTGGATGCCATCCTAGGTGGGTGTCTGCACTCTGTCAGCACTGCAGTGCTCAGCCCTGTTAAAATTTTAATTACACTTCTCTAACTGTTGTGCATTTGCATGTCATACCCACGCTATAGAAATTGTAGCAAGCCCTGTGACCAGCTCTTTGTCAAGGGACGGAGTTTCTGCTGCTCAGACAATTTATCAAAAGCAGTTTGATATCAAGCTTTGTATCAAAAGCAGTTTTGGGTGGTTGAGGCTGATGTATGAACCCCTTTAAACAGGCTTGCTCTCGCTGTCGGTGAAGGGAGCAGAAGTGGCCTCCATGACCATCAACATAATCCAGAGCATTCCCAACTTGGACTGGCTCTCCGTGTGGATCAAGGCATACGCCTTTGTGCATACTGGAGACAACACCAGAGCAATAAACACCATTTGGTAAGAGCTGGAAGAGCGTGGTACAATCAAATCAGATATAAATTCTTATATATAATGGTACTCAAAGTGTCATTTATAAATAACAGGCATTCTTTTCCCTTTAAGCTCTTTAGAGAAGAAGTCATTGCTGAGGGATAATGTGGACTTGCTGGGGAGCTTAGCAGACCTATACTTCAGAGCTGGAGACAATAAAAACTCTATCCTAAAATTTGAACAAGCACAAATGCTGGATCCTTACCTAATAAAAGGTGAGTAAATCCTGAGAGAAGGTTGACCTGAAGAGTAACAGCTACACGCAGTGGAATATTTTATATTGTTTACCCAGCTTTCAGTTCAGAATTGAGATTCAGAAGCTGCATGTCTTGAACCCTTCTAGGTAGTTGCACAGTTTAAAGTAGGTGTTTGTGGTTTTTGTGACTTTTTTTCTTGTGAATGGGCTTTCTGTTTCTTGAGGATTGATCCTCCAACGTGTCTCTTTAGGAATGGATGTTTATGGTTATTTACTGGCACGCGAGGGGCGGCTGGAGGATGTGGAGAACTTGGGCTGCCGGCTCTTCAATATTTCTGACCAACATGCAGAGCCCTGGGTGGTGTCTGGGTGAGTTGCATTCTTTTTTTTCTCACCTCAGCTCTCCATGTGCTGAATGTGGTGGGTTACAGCTGACACGGGGGGTTCAGCTTGTTTTGTTCAGAAGGTGCTTTTCTATCCTGTCTGTTGTGTTCTTGGGTAACTCTCTGTAAATATCTATTGTGGTTATTTTCTGTATGTGAAATTTAGAGTTACACACCCGTGCAATGTATTAAATAGTATATTAACAATATATTAAATAGTAACAGTTTTAATATCTATACTGGGTGTTCTTAAATTTCTGAAGAAGTTCAAAACCCCCATGACTGCGCACAGGCACCGCAGGCAGCGTGTGTTTCCAATCCCTCTCCTTTTTCTGTAGGTGTCACAGTTTCTACAGCAAAAGATACTCCCGTGCCTTATACTTGGGAGCCAAAGCTATCCAGCTGAACAGCAACAGTGTCCAGGCGCTGCTGCTGAAGGGAGCTGCTCTGCGCAACATGGGCCGGGTGCAGGAGGCCATCATCCACTTCCGAGAGGCCATCCGCCTGGCGCCCTGCCGCCTCGACTGCTACGAGGGTGAGCCCTGGGCAGCTGCTCACAGCTGCTCTGTGCCAGGGCTGCTGCCGTGCTGCTGCTGGGGCCAGGGAATGGACAGCATTCCAAGCAGTCCTTCCCTCCTGTAAATAATTATTACCCCAAAAGGAACTATGTGATCAGGCGAGGGATGCGAGAGAATGTGTGGGTTTGTAAGAGTGGTGTTTAAAAAGGGGTTTTCTTGGTTTTTTTTGTTTTGTTTCATCTGGAGGTAAGCAAAACTTGGACGTTTGGAGCAGTTCACTTTTGGATGAGGATGTTATCTGATGGTTAGTTCTGCTGGGAGCTTTGTTTTGTCATATTTGTTTAAATATTTAAATCTGGTTGTTCTCAACAGCAGCTTCAAGTAGTGAAGAGTCAGGGTGAAATATTAATTCTCTCAGTATTGGAATTGGACAAAAACATTGGATTAGGTGTACTTAGGGTTGGAGTTTTTTTTTCAGTGCCTGACCATTAATAAATATCAAGTAAATTATCTCTAGAATGAGTATGTTGACAAGCATAGATTCACTTTCTCAATTACAATGTGTATTTGCTCATTGGAGTGTCAGCTGTTCAGCACCCGAGTGCTACTAAGTGCAAATAATAGTGGAGGGCAGAGTGCCTGTGGTGCTGACTCAAACCCTGAAGTGTTTCCAATCTGACATCACCAGGTCTCATCGAGTGTTACCTGGCATCCAACAGCATCCGTGAAGCCATGGTGATGGCAAACAACGTCTACAAAACCCTGGGGGCAAATGCACAGACCCTCACCCTGCTGGCCACAGTCTGCCTGGAGGACCCAGTCACGCAGGAAAAGGCAAAAACATTGCTGGACAAAGCTCTCACACAAAGACCTGACTATATTAAAGCTGTGGTAAAGAAAGCAGAACTTCTCAGTAAGTTCCTTTTTCCTCTGGGTCAGTTTGTTTAAAAATACCCTTGTACATGGAAAGGTGTTCTGGAGCTACATCCGTGTGAAGGATGTGGAGGTGATTATAGAGTCCAGGGGTTTATCAGTTCTATCCTGAGAGAAAAATCACAGGAATTAATTGCATCTGGCAGCTGATACTACATTTAAATTACAATTGGAAACAAAAATGTTTTGACTTCAAAGTAGATGTAATTGTGAATGTAGCAGCTATTGCGACAAAAAGTCATTATTCAGAGTAAATCCTGCAAGAAGCAGAGCACTGCTCTACTGACAGGTCTAGAGGAACAAATAACCTTGTGTTGGGAAGACCATGAACACTGTGCTTTTTTATAGCTTTGTCTCAGCTGTTGATTAAAGCAGTAGTTTTGCCTGTGCACAGGCAGAGAGCAGAAGTATGAAGATGGGATTGCCTTGCTGAGGAATGCCCTGGCCAACCAGAGTGACTGTGTCCTGCACCGCATCCTGGGGGACTTCCTGGTGGCTGTCAACGAGTACCAGGAGGCCATGGACCAGTACAGCATCGCCCTGAGGTAGAGCACACCCTGGCACTGCGGGAGCTTCATAAGAACCAGAAATCAGTTTCACTGAGTAAAGATGAGCTACTGATGCATTAGGATGGGAGTCAGAGGTGGCTTTGCATCATTCTCCCTTAAAATAACAGAACCACACAAATCACACCCTGTTCATTAATTGGTTGGTCTTTAAGATTTCAAACTGAGAAGTGCATAATGTAGGGACTGTATTAATGCTAAATATGTCACTAGGCTTGTGATTCCTTGACTAACAAAAGGATTAAGGCATGGAATTATTTATAGTTATTAATTATTTTATAGTCAGACTTTAGGATCCATTTTTTTACACTAGAAGGTGCATATAAAAATGAGCTGTTTGATAAATTTAAATAGTATGATTCAACTTAACATAATCTAAATGCTATTTTAGGGTGTCACTTTGTTAAATATTCCCATGTTTTGATTGCAACATCTTCAGTTTGCCTTAAACCCAGCACATTATGTCTCCTGCAAACTTGCATAGTTTAAATGGGTCAGCTGGTTTTTGCCTGCATAGATTATATTTAGTCAGAGTCATTTAAATTTTTAGTGCTTTCATGTTGCTTTATAATTAGTATTGTTGGGAGAGGTGACTAAGTTTTCTGGAAGAGTGGGATGTTTAGATAAACGTGTTCTCTGGGATCAGAACTGTTTTATAAAGAGATTTAAGACTCAGTGTTACAGCAGCTCAAGGGGAAGTTGCATCATCACCTAAAATAAGCTTCTTGATGATGTTAAACAGGAAGTGCAGACAACAGGAGGAGATTTTATTGTTACTCTTTACAGTGAGGCCACAAAGAGAAAAAAGTTTCAAGACAATGCTTTATTTTCCTTCCTTTCTTCAGTTTGGATCCAAATGATCAGAAGTCACTGGAAGGATTGCAGAAAATGGAAAAAGAGGAAAGTCCAACAGATGCCACCCAGGAAGAAGATGTGGATGACATGGAGGGAAGTGGAGAAGAGGGGGACTTGGAAGGCAGTGACAGTGAAGCAGCTCAGTGGGCAGATCAAGAACAGTGGTTTGGGATGCAGTAAAAGCCTCCTGCTGCTTCTTTTGGCACTTGAACACACCACTAGGGCCACTCTTCTTAGACGAACAGAGACTCTGATTCTTTTTCAGTAACAGAGGACTTGGGTTTTATTTGCAACTTTCATTTTGAAAAAATCCTGCTAAAACTAACACCATCAGAATCTGAGGTGTGTAATGAGCCTGTTGTTTGTGATGAAAACAATGTCTGAGTTCTGTCCAGGCTGAGTGTGCTTGGGCAAGTTGTAAATACAGTGGTTTGTACTCCTTTTTGGGAAAGGCCTTGCTCATTTCTGTGCAGCCATTTGAGTCTGGGGGAGCTGCTTGAGTGTGGCTGAAAGCAGCACTTTTTTTTTGCTGTGTTTCTTGAATTAATTTGTCTTTTTCTAGGGCATTACCTGTGCTGTCCACAATAAGTTTGGGACAATAAGCAACTTGGACTTCCCAGACATTTTTTGTAGCTGATTGATTTGTCTGTGTACAGAATTGAGACAGTGGTGGAGAATTAAAGTAATTTTTTCAATGCTTACTAAACTCTGCAATCACTTCAAGCCTGTACATGAGCATTTATTTTAAAATGCAGTTTAGTTTTATTTCAGTATGTTCCTGGAAGGTTTTGCAGCAGTGACTCAAAGCACTTTACATTCTGTGTACAGCACTGACATTTAAAATGCTATAAAAAGAATTAATCCCTCTTCCCTTGCACTGCTGAAGAAATGTTAAATTATGCAAATACACATATTGTCCTGTTTGTTCCATGTTTATATATTTCCTGGCTTTGTCAGGTAATTTTTGAATTCAATACTTTTTCCCTCACCTTTTGAAGCCAAATTGCTTCATGTACAAATTCTTCACCTCAGCATTTCAAGGGTGAACTGCTTTGGGTAATCTAGAAACTGTTTCAGTTCTGTGGGCTTGATGTGTGGGAAGAGGAATTACTTATTTTTCTTACAGTTCTGATTCCCTTAGTCTTTACCAAAATGTGGTTTTATAATCTTTATATCAAGAGTTTAAAATTCCTTTTGTATTTATTTTGTTACCATAGGTATGCTGGAGCACACAGACCTTTTAGAAAGCTAAAAAAATAGTTTTGAGTATCAGTTGGAGGAAAAATGGCTGTTTGTTACAGATACATGACATGGAAAAGAAGCTTCTCCCTGAAAGGCAGATAAGGGTAAATATCCCTCTGTGATGTTGTATCAAAAGTGCACAACAAAAGAGGGAGATTATTGTCTGTTTTGGAAATGTTCTGGTGTGTCATGGCTTACAGAGGAGGAGTCCAATAGTTCATCCATTTAAGAAAATAAAACAGCTGCTTGTCTGTTCTCTCTGGAATTCTGTGGGCTTTAGAGTTTCCAAAATACCAAACTGAGTTATGGTTCTTTGAAGGTGGTAGGGGAAGAGCAGCAAAGCAAAGCTTTCGTGGCAGTTGGGTCACAAGCTGCTCCTGCTCTTCCTGTGAGCAGATTCACCAAATGTGTAACGTCTCAGGGAGAGCAAATATTTAATTAATGACTTTAATTAACGAAAGGCTTTGTCCTCTTCATATCTTTGCCATTGCTGTGGGATGCACTGAATGGATTTCAGCTCATCACGTGTCTCATAACAGAAAAAACGTGCAAGATATTCAAAGTATCTATTTTTATATAAAAAAAACCTTTGCTTTCTCCTCAAACTCAGCATTCACCAGCTCAAAGCTGGGTAGCTGCATTAGCTTTCTAGTTGTATTCCAGACCTCTGCTGAGAATGAAAATTGAGTTGTGTTACTAAACTAAAGGCAGGATACATTTAATCGATGAGGAGTATATGAGATATGTGCTGTATTTTTCAGCCATTTCATTCTAATAGTTCCTTTGAATAGCTTGTTCTTTTCAGGTGGAAACCACTGTCTTTGCACATTTCTCTAAAGTATTTACATAGAAGAGGAAACTGGAGAGCCACAGTTCTACTGAAACCATTCTGTAGTGTGTTTGTAGATAATCTGATAATCTCTGCTTTTAGAACAGGCAGGAAACCAAAACTACTTCAAGATGAGTCTTTGAATGCAGCTTGAGCAAACAAGTCCAGGCACAGCTCAGAACACCAAGAGATGGCTGTTAAAAGTGATTTGTATCCTCACAGCTTTGATTTCCTGAGAACTTGGTTCCTTGCTGGAAATGAGAAGTTGTGAGAGTGTGCAGATGAAGGCTGGTGAGTACCTGATGTGTTGGGCTTACTGTGTGTGATCTTTGCTAAGAGCTGCACTGTGACTGTGGAACTTTGAGGTGCCACACATGTTGAGATTGTGTAGAGAGATATATTTGGCCCTCACTTCAGAATCCTTTGAGGGATTCTGCTTGCCTATTAATGAGCCTTCATTACTGCTTTAATTTTAGAATGTGATCTCTGGTTCTGCACAGGTCTGGTACTCTCCAGTGCAGTTACAGGCATTTAGTTCAGGGAATATAACAATTAGCCCTTAATAAGCAGCTGACCTCATTCCCTGCCTCAATCACATGCTCTGCACCTGAGAAGAAAAGATCACAAGCCAAGAACTGAAGTTCAGGCTGTGTTAGATCAGTGATAGGAGTGAAACAGTTTGCACATGAGGCAAGAATTCTGTTGCCATCCAGTTGTACTGTGAAGTGTTGGTGTGTCTGAGGTGCTGGGTAAGGGCAGAGTGCCCCTGTTTGCCTGAAATCCTTCAATTTAAATCACGTATTTCATTATTACCTTTTCATTCTTTCCTGCTTTGACAGGAAGTGATAGGAAAGGGACAGAATTTCTTCAAACTGTACATAGACTTGGCTAAGGGCTAGAAGGCACTGAAAGCAGCACACATTCATGGTGTGGTTAGAAATTGCCAAAATAATGCATTTACTCTTACCATGTGCTGATAACACCTGCAATACTGGCAGTGTTTCTAATTCTGAAGATTTCTAGATCATGGGAATCCTGGAATTGTGAAGCAGAAATAAAGGAGAGACTGAGGACTGCTGGCCAATATCAGTGAGGTGCTTCTTTTTCTGCTGCTGCTGGTTACAGAGAGATTTTTGATTAACTAGGGCTTTTTTCCCCCCTTTCAGTAACTGTCTTCCTCATTAAGCCTCTTTGTGTGGTGATGCTTTCCTTCTTGCTTTTCAGGAGCTCAGTGATGTGGAAACTGATCCATCCAGGGCAGAAGCAGGCAGGATTTCTGATTGAGCAAACCTTATTCCCTCATTTAGATCTCAGCGGTAAGGCTGTGTCTGCCATTGTTACTTCAGGTTACACAAACATACCACAACCAAATTTATTTTAAAAACCCAGATCTGCAGTCTCCATGGGTCTTAAATTTAGTGATCTTAGGAGGGCTTAAACTTAGTATAAACCTATGATTTCAAACTAAACAGCCTTAGTTGGTTAAAATGTCCTTTGGAAGCTGGCCAAGAGGAGGCAAGGATGTATATAAGACTGGGTGTTTGGGGAGGAAATTGATAATAAAATAGAGTTATTTTGGTGCAAACAGAGAAAAATAAAATGTTCACCTGGGGAACTTCAGTGTAACAATTTATGTATTAAGGAAGGCCCTTTGGCCAGTCCCTGTCACTTGATGGAACTACAAAATAGAAAGAATAATCTGTTTTCTCTCACTGGCTTGAGCCTGGCCTTTGCTTTGCAAAGTCAGGGGTGTGGGAGTGGGTACCCAGTGGGTGTTTACTCTGTACAAGCCTCTCTTTCCAAGAGCTTCCAGAGGGGCCAAGGACTTTTGTGAGTCTGGAGATCAGATTCCTTTTCCTCACCCATCATCCTATCAAAACAGCAATGTGGAAAATAGGGTGATGGTTTGGGGTATGAGGTAAAATCCAGGGGCCTGATAAATTGATGTTGAAAGTCTTCTCTGCACTTCCATGTGGGTAAACTGTTGGGATGAAATCTTTTAGAAAACCTCCTCAGGTGCTCAGAGCTGCTCTCATTTCTCACCCACGCTCTTGGGGGTGGACGTGGGCTCTAATCATACTCAAATTCACCTCGAGGTAAAAATAGGGATATTGCCTGCCCTCTGTATTTAGAGTTTAATGTAATGTGTCCATAATGCCTCATAACTTGAGCTATGGGGAGTGGTTTCTTTGCTCTGTGCTGTCAGTGGGCTCATCCATGTGGTGCTGTAGAGCTGGGGGTTTGCAGGGAGGAAGGAGAGGAGGAGGAGGAGGGGGAAGATGAAGCTGTTTATTTCAGCATCTCTTACCACATATTCTCGCACTGAGCACCTTGGCAACCCACTGAGCATCACGTTCTCCTCACATGGCTGTCCTCCAGCTGGGGGACTCATTCTGCTTAAATTTGCAGATTATCATTTAAAGAAATGTTCCAGGTTGAGTTGGTGTGAGTTGGCTCAGGAGCTGCTCACCAGCCGAGGAGTGCAGCTCGCTGTGACAGCAGCACGGGCTGCTGCTGAATAACGACTTCCCATCGGGGCTGAGCAGCAGAGCTCAGCCTGCCGGCACAGCACTTCCATAGGTGGAAGCAGCTGCCAGCAGCTCGGCCCGATGCGTTAACACACCCTCCACCATCCTATAGAGCCGCCGGACCATGGAATTCGAGCCTTTTATTTTTAAACCTCACACTGCTGTGTTTGAAGGGTCTCAGATGTGTCACCTCATTAGGATAACGCTGTTTGCCAGCAGGGTGCTGCTATCAGGGGCTGGAGGCTAAGAGGCATTACATTTAATGTAAAATACATTCCTAAGTTGTCTCTGATTCCAAACAAAATCTGGTGTTTGGGCTTTGAGCAGAGCATTGCAGGATACTTGGAAATTCCAGCTTTTACCCTGGGAGTGCTTTAGCCTTGCCAGCAGCAGCCTTGTGAGCTTGTGGCAGAACAGCCCCTGGTCTGGGGAAGGGAGTGAGCCCAAACTGCCAAGCACTCCCAGCAGGATGCTCGTGATGTGGTTTGGAGCAAACACATTTGGCTCATCTTCCTTTTGCCTGCAGAAAGGGAAGAGACCAGGAGCTACTTTAAAGCTGGGGCAATTTAGAAAATAGAAAAGGACAAAAAAAATATAAAGATGTAGTTGGGAAAGAATTGTTTATTTTGCGTTTCTCAGAGGGATTTTACAAACAATGGAGCATTTTAAAAAAACTGAGTGATCAAAGTACTTGACAGTGTCCCTTAAACACACACACAAGCCCCTGGACAGAGGAAATCACACCAGCGAGGAGGTCAATACTGCCGAGGAGCAGCTGCATCTGCATAGTTCTAGGAGGAAAGATTGCAATGGTGTTGGTGCTAAAAAGTGTCATCCTGGCATTAAAATAAGAGCGCGCTGCAGTGCCTGCACACGGACCTGCAGGAAACAAAGTGCATCAAATAACACGCCGAGTACGTATTGTAGAATAAATTTATTTACCTGATACAAATGAAGCTAGGTGTGATGCTCCTTTACTGTCAGCATGTCAATAGACAATTGATCTTATTTACAACTTCTAAAGGTCACACATGCAGCTGTGGGAACTGGCTACGTCGTTGTTGCTTTTTAGATAAATGCATCACGATATTTTGTATTGCACCAACATCTGTCTTACTGCCTTAGATTTAAATAAGTTACATTACAGTGCAAAAGAGGTTGATTTGCACAGATGATAAAAAAATCCAACGTTATGAAGTGGAGGCTTACGGTTTAACATTCATCTGTAATCGTTTCCATGGATTTATAAATAGGAGAGCATTGTACAGAAGCTGTTGGAGTAGGATGTTCGGATGATACAATACAGAGAGAGATCCGTCTACACCCCAAGGCATGCATTATCTGATATTGTACATTGTATAAACGGACGTTTTACATACAGGAATATGGAAATCGGCTGACAGCTCCGCAATTCTTGTTCAAGGATAACCAAACTCTTCTCCATGCAGCACAGAAACCCAACTTCTCTGGAGAGAGTTCCGACTTGGTAAGCTATATTGCACGTTTGTACATCTGTATCATGGAGTCCTAATGGTACCACACATTTCTTCCACAGAGAACACAGTGAGTTTTGTTTTTAAGGGAAAGCAAAGAATCTTTACACGATACATGCAGAAGTTTTGGTAGATGTGTTGCTAAAAACACATGCACGCAACAAAACAACCTTACATTTCTGCAAAATTGTTTAGGAAGCGATTACTCCAGTATTGCTGAAAAGGAAAGAAAGAAAAGGCATCAGTTAATGAAAGGATGAATGCTAAGTATCATTATACAAGCAAGACTAAGATCAACAGTGACAGAAGAAAGAATGTTAAGTTTGCTAACTGGCTGCTCTGTCATTGAAGGGACACTCTCAGGTTACTTTGTTCTTGAAGCTCAGGATCCTCTGGATTAAGGCTCAGCTCCCTTGATTATCATCAGAGCCAGCACTTTCCTACTCAAGACTGCAGTGAAAAACAATTAAGACACATTTAATTAGCTTTTGCCTTTCTCTGCCTGACCAGTGGCAACAGACAATTCTCACTTCTTTGGAATTTTTACTTTCAAGTTCCATCATACGCACTTGTTTTTTTCAGTTGAGGAATTAGGGCAGGATTGGCCCCAAAGTGACCTAACAATGTCCCTTTTCCAAGTCAGGCAGCTTGTTCTGGGAAGCAGTAGGAAAGCTTTGAAGAAGTCATTAAACTACACGGATTATGTGTAGGCAAAGGATAGAGTAGAAGGTCCTAAAGCTCCTGCTGTACTTCACCCCTACCACAGCATAAGGTCAGCCTTGTGTCTGGAGAGACTGCTCTCAGTCCCTACAGCTCCAGGGAAGCTCTTCCAAACACTGCTTCAACACTAAAATTTGGGCTCTCCTGCTAAGATTTGAAAATGCATATTAATGCAATTAAGGATGTAATTAGCAGAGATTAGGGAAACAGTTAATGGTTAGAAGTGCAAAAAAGTAAACAAGACAGGTGCAAGAGACAGACGACTCTATTGGTTTTACCTCCCTTCATCTCAGCAAATTCAGCCCCCTTGGGCTGTGTACCATCAGCTCTGGGCTCGAGCTGTCTTGGGCTGGCACTGCTGTACTGCATTCTATCATCAGATTAAAAACTCAGTTTCGTACCAGGAACCTCCCCAGCAGCCTCTCTACCAACACACGCCTCGGAGCACTTTGACAGACTGGTAGAAATGTTTTTCTGCAGCCTCTTTCGTACTCATTTATTTGCAATAACGTTTTGGAAAACCAAGTATGAACTATTTTTATTGCTCGGACGCCAGCAAGAAGGAGCAGCTCGTTGTGTAGCTCAGCACTTTGGATTGCTCACACGTGAAAGCAGAGAGAGCCCAAGGCACTGCAAAGACAAAAGCTCCTGTCTAAAAATTCAATGCATGACTGCAGCTGCCTGAGCATCCTCCGTGCCACAGAACACAGGATTCAGGAGGAGCTGCTCTCATTCCAAACCCCAGCGGGTTCCCAGCACAAGCCAATATCCTTCCTGGTGTTCCCAGCATAAGGCAGCATCAATCACACGATTGATCCTGGTCTTACACACCCCTCTCACAGTAGAGAATAAGCAGTGATGTGTGAGGGCACCAAGGAATCCAGGAAACAGCAGAGATGAAAAAGCTCGGTGAGATGGGAGCAAAGAGAAACAAAAAATATGAAGTTATTTTGTAAGAATGGAGTGGGAGATCAAGCCTGGGGAATTCTCAGTCCTGCTTGAACAAGGGTTGCTGTCTGTGGGCTAACATGGTTTAATAGGGGTTACCTTCTTCAACCCCAGCACTGGGGAGGTTGGAAAGGAAACTTCTGGGGAAACAAATGAGTTTTGACTTTGAGATGTTGGCAAATGAGTCTGTCCTAAAAAGTCCTCCCTTCCTGGCTTCTCCAGCTGAAAAGACTGAGGCTGAAGGATGACAGGATCTATACAACTAAGGATAAACACTGTAGTTCAGGTATTTCCTGCAAAAATTACAAACTTTGCACTGCAGTTCTGTACTTTCTATGACAGAAAAGCCCTCAGCTCCTTCTTCCTGCAGCTTCCCCCAGCCTGCTCAGCTGCCAGGGCTGAAGCCCAGACCCAGCACTCCTGCTCCAGCAGCACAAGGATGTGGTGTCAGGGCAGGATGCTCCACCACCCAGGGGGAAGCTCAGGTAGGTCTGGACATTTGGCCAATCCCAACCAGCCAAGGGTAGGATTTACAGCACCTGGAGAACAGAATCCTGAAAGCACAGCACAGCTGCTGTGCAACCTGAGATCTGCAGCTGCTGATCTTGGGGAACCCCATGGCTCCATTTCTGCAGGGAAACTTGAACAAGACTGGGAGAAACAGAAGAAAAACAGGGCAGATGAAGATTGCTTGGGCTCTGAAGGAGCACCTTGCAAAACCTGACTGTTCCTGTAAGCTCAGAAGCCTGTAGGGATGGATCCCAACATCTCCATTTGCCTCCACTCGTCCAGATTTCAAGGCAAAGTCCAAGAACACAAGGCCCTACCCCAAGTGCCTCTGAGACAGAGGCACGAATGAGCCCTCAGATCTCTATGGAAAGCCATGACAAGCAGCAAGATTCATCTTCAACACTGACAGATCCAACAGAGAAGGTGCTGAATTCTGAATATTCTGAATTCTACTTACTGACAGTCATTTTCCCTTTCAGCTTCTTAAGAGAGGCAAAAAGGGGGTGTATAGCAGGATTATTTGGCATAAAAGACAGGAACAGGACTGTACAAGAAGCAGATTTATTCACGGTGGCAGCCAGACAAGTGGCTTTGAACAGGCCACCACATGGTGCTGAGGTTCAGCAGAACCTGTGTTCAAGGATTCAGTGGCACTCCCGCCCTGGAAATGTCTGTCAAGAGCAGTGGGAGCACACAGAACTAAGCTCCTAATTTGTTTCCAGCAAATAACACACTGGTACACACTTTGATCTCAGGAATCCTACATCACACGAACTATTATTTTTTGTTTCAAGGAACAGGGATGAGTCTCACGCTCCTCATTTATTATTGATACAAGTAAAGGCCAGTGAAGGCCAGTGGTTTTATGGAATGCAAAACTTTAGTTTGGCTCTTCCACACCAAAAAAGGGCATTTGAGGGAATTTGAATGCTCACAGTTTGGCAACACACCTGCGACATCATCAGGTCAGCTCCTCTGAGCGCCTTCAGCATCAACTGAAGTCAAAATCTCTATAAACAAAGTATCACAATGCAGTGGAATTTCTGATAGAGCCTCTGTGTTCTGAGGGAGCTCTCCACTTGAGAGCTTAAACCTAGAGAATTACGAGTGCCCGCTGGATTCCAGCTGGCAGCAAGAGAACATAGCCTGGAACTATCCTTCCCCTCCAAGAGGGATCACAAAGCTGTTTGAATTTGGTTACTAAAGCAGACTGAGCCAGCACAAGATAACAGCACCTGCTGCTCTACACACACAGTGACCCCAGGGCAAGTTTCAAAGACTGCCCTGTTAAGCTGAGACTGTTCTTTTGCCTTCTCAGATGGCAAATAACAAATAATGAGCTGGTTTTGCCAGGAGCAGCACCTGCCCTTCGAGCACTGCAGGGACCAGGGAAGGGTGCTCAGCTCTGAGGGGGAGCCCCTGTTTCAGAGCAGGGAAAAGCTTTGGAATAATCCAGCACCTGACCACGAGTACCAGAGAGTTTTGGACACTAAACATTCATGGTAACAGCTGCCAGGGTCTTAAGTTACAGATTTGTCTGATTTTATCTCAAACTTAAGACCAAAAGCTGTAAGACCTTGGGGCACTAAGGCTCCCAGGTGCTATAAAACAAGACCCTAAAATACACTAAGCCAAAAGCAAGTGCTTTGCCTTTGGAATCAGTAATTTGAGCTTCAGATCACAAAACAAGAGTCTAAAGTGGTGATAATAATGTAGCACAGCAGAGTTTGACAAAACACAGCATGGGAATGAAGGAAATTACTATTTATTCTTCAACATGTATACAGCATATGCTATTTTACAGCAAGTCACCACTGGCAGGGTGAAATGGAAGAAAAATACTCACTTTAGTCGATGAAAGTTGGAAGGCATTGGAAAAAAACACCACAGTTAGGACTGTTAATGACTTACACATTGTTGATACAGGACTGAATTTGAAAACATGCTTTAACATTTACCGTAATAATGAAGGTGGTTAGTGCCACATTAAAATAAAAATAGTTCTATACAATATGTTCAATTTGGTCATGTGCTATTTACAGATTTTACAAAAAACACACACGAGCTTGTTACTTCAAGTCAGGCTAACAACAGGCCAGCAGAGTAACTCCATGTATACAACTGAGCATTAGTGCCCTAAGTGTAGGAAATCCAATTTCTAGCTATGCAGTGCAAGTTATTTTTTCAGGTCTCATTGCAAATTTTGATCTTAAAGGGGAAAAAAAAAAAAGAAAGAAAAAGAAAGGCTCTGACATGTGTAAAAAAGGTATTAAACCCCATCTTTAACCCTCTTTTGAACTGAAAGAGATTGTGTGTGTTAAAAAGGCTTTAGATTTAAGGAGACAGAAGTAGCCCTCCCTATCCCTGCATAATGGGCAACACTGGCAAAGTAAGGTCTGTTACAATAAAATACAATAGACAAATAAATAATCCTTAAAAAAAAAACAACCCTATGTGTGTGGAGAGTATGGAAGAACCCCAGCAGGCTGCACCTGGAATGGTATTTTCTGCACGAGCAGGATCAGGCATACCTCATACAGAAAGTGGTGTAAACAAGGACAGTCAAGAACCAAGAGTGAGGGAAGAGGGGACCGAGAAGAAATCCTGACCCAGGGAGCAGGACTCTACCCAGTGCAGAAAGTTCTGCTTGTGAACAAAACCTGACTTTATGACAAATTAAGTTTGGATGATCATGCAGAAGACAAACAGTTACATGCTTTTTTAGTTTTAGACAACACACATT